AATACAGGACCCCATGCTCTTCCCAAACCTGAAAAAACCGCCTCCTTCCCCCTGTTAGTGAGTGACAACTTGGAATGAGGGCTATTGACAAACGCTTGCCTCTGACAAGTCAGGAACGTTTGTGATCAATACACACAGTACCTTCCGGCACCAAATGGCCATCAATTTCATAGGTCCTGTCCAATGTTCGACTGATAATGGGGACTGGGGCGAATAACCGGCAACTCTCCTTGATACACATGAGGAGATATTTCAGTTTGCCGAGCTGCTTCCTGTGAAAACACACATTGCGCCATTAGTATAATGATGTCACAGTAGAGGCTAAATGACAAGATAATCAAGCCAAATCATCAATTTCCCACACACACGTCGATATTCGAAAACTTTAAAGAGAAGGCATCCCTCACAGGGCCGTCAAGTGGCCTGAAATAGGGTATAGAGATGATAAGCTCCAAATATCTTTTACAGAAGGAAAATTAACTAAGTTCCTCACCACTCTATCTCAGAACTGTTTCCAAACACTTCTTCAATCTCCTCCAGGCATTTCTCTTGGTGCTCAGGGAATCTGGCCAAATTGTACAAAGTCCATGAAATAACTAAAATGGAAAATAAAGTAGACCGGATAAGTACCTTTTGCCTTTCAAGGACAAAAGGCACTAAGTTGCTGGAGGTTTTTTACTTAGCTCTTCGGTTGAAATGATATCTTATTGTACACACCGCTCGCCGTGGTGTCGTGCCCCGCAAACATGAATGTCACGACTTCTCCGACTATTTCTTCGTCTGTTAAGCTGCTTCCATTTTCGTCCTGAATCATAGAGAGAAAAATCCATTTACACTAAGCTCGATAAGAGTCATAGTGCGAAAAAATTAATACAAAGGTTGGGTGGAGTAGATTTTAGTATCGGAGCAATTACGCACCTACCCCTCCCCTAACCCAACAACTGTTAATGTTGTGGGAAGGGGAAGGCACAAGCGCGCAGTTGCTCAGATACTGACGTTGATCTATTTTTATCAATTTAAAACTACTGCTTTGAACAAAGAGCGCTGATTCTTCTTAATTACCTTTGCCTCCAGTAGAATATCAAGGAAATCCAAATGCTTCTTTTTCCTGAGTTTCTCCTTCTCCTCCTGAAGTAAGAACAAATAAAAGTCCATTGATACGGCCTAAGTTTTCAAGTACAATTGATAAACTTATCAAAACTCACGTCATCCTGTAGAGCTTTACGCCGGGCTTTTATTATTCCATCTGCTTTTGCATGAACAAATGCACAGTTCTTAAAGAACCTTCTTCCGTCAGGCGTCAACTTATAGATGGTGTCATTATGAATGAGGGGATTCCTACAAAACGGTATACAAGTAGAATAGGCATGAAAAAATAGATTTGTGTAACACTGAGGAGTGAGAGGATGAGGATGAGAGAAGAACAGGGATAAAAGACAAGAGAAAAGAGGCATAAAGAAGAGGAAGGAGAGACTGAGGGTGAGGGAGACTGAGGTGAGGGAGGAAGAGGAAAGAGACTAAAGAAAGGAACAAGAGCAATGCAATGCAATGTAATGCAATGCAATGCAATGCAATGTCAGTTAAATATGTTTCTTACATCAGTCTGTCCAAAATCTGACCCGAGGCTTCATAAACAACCACAATGTAAGGGTCCTGTTTTCTGAAATGCGAAAAAGGAAACAAACAAATGACACATCACCTGGTATATTACTTAGAGTAAAGGGTGTAAGCAAGAGGGAGTCCTAAGCTTTATGTTACTTCTTCCTCGTTAAGAGAAAGTGATCACGTATAATAATAGAAGAACCTAAAATAACTTCAAATGTATTAAGATGCTGATGAGAAAAAGCCCCCCCCTCCCCTTTTACCGGAAAATGCTGTTTACATCCCTGGACTACTCTCCGGTATATCTTGAGCAAAGGTTTTCACAGTGATGTACAGCACTGGTAGAGTAGACAAGGAAAATTTGGAAAGAATCGTCTACCGCCCAATGACAAACATCGCAGTCTGGTCAGTTGTCAAGTTTTGAACGACCACAGTTATTAGATTTATACGAACTCAATCAGACCAGTCGCTCTCGATCTCTATGCGTAATAGCTGGCGCGGGTTTCGCCCTCGTCAAACACAACCCTATAGAAATCACGCGGTCTTAATCTAATTCTTTGAAAACAATTTTTTTTCACATACAGGTTAGGTATCTAAATGTGTCTGCTATATCTCATAGTTTCAATTCTTACTTTTGAGTCTGGCAGTTGGTTCTGTAGCTGAGTGCACATTTGAGAACGGAGTCTAATGTCATCAGACTAACATGATGAAACAACTCCACTTCCCCACCCTGCTGAGAAGACCATTTTTCCTGAAAGAAGAATATCATGATTTGCTGTAATAGGCTTCTGAAAAAGCCATTTTTGAAATTTCCATTTGACCACAATAAGTAGCACAGGTATTGGTACCTTTAACTTTTTTTCTTACCAAATTGTATTGGAGTTCGCCTTTCCCTCAGATTGAGGACAGCCACTAGCTCCTTTTCGGCGAGGTCCGTCACGCGAGTGATAGAAGCAACGAAAACAAATGAAATTTATGGTAGTGCGCCGCGTGGAACTCTTGGAGTGAGGCGCAGCGGGCTAGTATCAGTTGTCATCATTA